TTAGGAATGGAAGGTCCCTTCCATGGCATGGAAAACATCGGGCGCTTCCCAGCTGGGATGAACATGGGCAGGATGAGTGGTAAGCACTGACTTTTGTCCATCCTGCTGGGTTTTCTGGGAGGGATCCCTCATTCCTGATCCTGATATTTTATTGGGGTTGTGATATTTTATTGGGGTTCTGATATTTTATTGGGATCCTGGTATTTTATTTGGGTTTTCCCAGCTGATTTTGTGTCCCCCCAAGTCCCTTGTGGTCTCTGAGCTGCACAAACTGAGTGATTTATTGTTGGTACCTCAAAAGGTTAATTCAGAAAGTTTCTGGCCTTGGCTTTTCCAAAAATTCACATGTGTTTGGGATAAATCCTGCTTTTCSTTGGGATTTTGRGTYYRTGGAGCCAYGATAAAATAATCAGGAGAAAATCAYAAAATCCYGGTTGTGCTGTGAATCTTCAGAATGATTCCTGTGGTAAAATGTTCTCTCTGGGGTTATTTAAACACTGTAAAAACTTAACCTTCCTTTTTTCAGAGATGGATCGTGCCATGGGMGGGGGATTTGAGAGAGAGTTTGGAAGAAATGAGATGGGAATGTCCCGGAGTTTTGGGGAGACCTTGGAGAGGGGAATAGGTGAGTGCAGTGAATTAAATCCATTTCCTGGCTGCTTTTCATCCCTGAATTGCTCATAAACATCACAGGGGTGTTATAAAATAAAATCTGGGATTTTGATAGATTTGCTGCAGGGATTTGGTCAAAACTTAATATTCAGGGAGTGCAGAAGGATACACCAATAATGGGGCTGAGAGGTTGGGACAGGGAATTTCTAACAATCCTGATCCACAAAGCTCCTGTATTGATGGAGGTCTGAGAGATGGGACGGGGAATTTCTAACAATCCTGATCCATAAAAACTGGTTTGATGGAGCTCTGAGAAACGGGACATGGAATTTCTAACCTGATCCACAAAACCTCTGGATGGATGGAGCTCTGAGAGATGGGACGGGGAATTTCTAACAATCCTGATCCATAAAAACTGGTTTGATGGAGCTCTGAGAGATGGGACAGAATTTCTAACAATCCTGCTCCACAAAACCTCTGGATGGATGGAGCTCTGATAGATGGGACAGGGAATTTCTAACAATCGTGATCCATAAACCTCTGGATCAATGGAGCTCAGAGAGATGGGATGGGGAATTTCTAACAATCCTAATGCACAGAAACTCTGGTTTAATGGAGCTCTGAGAGATGGGACTGAGAATTTCTAACAATCCTAATCCACAAAACCTCTGGTTTAATGGAGCTCTGAGTGACAGGACAGGGAATTTTTAACAATCCTGCTCCACAAAGGCCCTGGTTTGATGGAGCTCTGAGTCACGGGACAGAGAATTTTTAACAATCCTGATCCACAGTAACTCTGGTTTCATGGAGCTCCGAGTCACAGGACAGAGAATTTCTAACAATCCTGATCCACAGAACCTCTGGATCAATGGAGCTCTGAAAGATGGAACAGGGAATTTCTAACAATCCTGATCCACAAAACCTCTGGATGGATGGAGCTCTAAGTGGGAGGACAGAATTTCTAACAATCCTGCTCCACAAAGCTCCTGGATTGATGGAGCTCCAAGTGACAAGGATTTATCCCAGCACAGCGAGCAGCTGCTCATGTTTCCATGCCCCCAGCTGATCTATGATCCCATCTGTGTTTTTGCAGGTGGAAATGCCAGCATTCCCGGCATCGAGAGGATGGCCCCTGGCATCGACCGGATGGGCTCGGGCATAGAGAGGATCCCAGCGGGGATGGGGCACGGGATGGAGCGGGTGGGCTCGGAGATAGACAGGATGGGGCTGGTGCTGGACCGCATGGGCTCCAACGTGGAGCGGATGGGCTCGGGCATGGAGCGCATGGCGCCGCTGGGCATCGACCACATCGCCCCCAACCTGGAGCGCATGGGCCCGGCCATGGACAGGATGGGCTCGGGCATGGAGCGCATGGGCTCGGGGCTGGGCTTCGGCATCGAGCGCATGGGCGCCGCCATCGACCGCGTGGGCACCGCCATGGACAGGATGGGCTCGGGCGTGGAGCGCATGGGGGCGGGCATGGATAGGATGGGCATCGGCCTGGAGCGCATGGTGCCCGCTGGGATGGGCACGGGCATGGGCCAGGTGATAGAGAGGATGCCGGCCGGGCTGGAGCGCATCGGGGCGCCGCCCATGGACAGGATCGGGATAGAGAGGATGGGAGCGGCCCCCATGGACAGGATGGGCCTGGAGCGCATCGGGGCCACCAACATGGAGAGGATGGGGCCGCCCATGGGGCAGGGCATGGGGGCGGGCATCGAGCGCATGGGCCTGGCCATGGGCAGCAACTTCGAGCGGCCCATGGACATGGAGCGGGGCAACTTTGCAGGGAATTTTGCAGGGTCGCTGGGAGGAGC